TCAGTGTGCCCTGTGTGTGCCCAGCCAGGGTGACCCTGTGAGTGCAGGGCTGGGCAGGACTCCCGAGGTGCCCGGGGGTGTGTTGTGGGGACCACTCAAGGCAGCGAGTATGGATCTCCCTGGGGTTCCCCTCGGAGCCCCCTGTGCCATCTCTGTGTATCCCAGGCACCAGGGCTGGGCTCTGGGCAGGTCTCCCTGAGCTCCTCCAGGGTCTCACCTCAGGGACATCCCCATCAGGTCATTCAGGACCAGCTTTATGTCCCTCAGACCTTCCCAGGACAGGGTGGAGATGCCATGGAGACCCTGCCCATGGCACAGATGCTGCAGCTCCAAGAGGGGTAAAAAGAACGAATTATCATGGAATGGTTTGGGTTGGGAATGATCTTAAAGTCCATCCTGTTCCATCCCCTGCCATGGGTAGGGACACCTTCCACTAGCCCAGGTTGCTCCAGTCCCAGCCCAGCGTGGCCTCTTCTCACAGCCCATTTTCCAGCTGTTTTGTGTTGCCATTACTGTGGTGATACAAAATTTTATTCAAACATTAACACGTTGTACCCGACAGAAAATAATCAATATGCTCAGGTGAGACTCCAGTAGCCTCTCCCTGGCGTGGAGGGGTGCTGATATGTTGGTGAGATGTTCCTCCTGGGTAAAAGGTGCAGAACAAGCCCCTGAGCCCCCCTGCTCGGTGACAGGCTGGGGTGGGGAAGGCTGGGGCCTTCCTGAGTCCCACTGAGCTCTGGTGCTCAGAACCACATCCCCTGAGGGCTGGTTTGGTACAGCCTGGGGCATGGGAACAACAGCCTGGCATGAGGAGATCCCCCTGTTCCAGAGAGCTTCCAGGAGGGTGAGCAGGGAGGAGATCCCTGTACCCAGAGCCTCTCTGTCCTTGCAGGGTTTGCACACACATTGTTGGCTGATCTCTGCCTTTCCTTGTGTCTTAAAGGACTTTGTTTATCCCCCACACTTGCCCATGTCTCTGCCAGTGACCCGGGGGCAAATGGGACTTCTGGGGCAGCTTTATTGGGGTTATTTTGGTCTTACATCCTCTGTTGGATTCAGCACAGAGCTAAACACCTGCATTGTTCTTACCAGAACCATCTGGGGATGGTGTCCAGCCCCTCAACCATCCCTGAGCCAGCCCTGCCAGAGCTGCTGTTGGATCTCACCAGCCACTCTCAGAGCTCCTGCTCCAGCTGCTCCTTTGGCACTTCCCAAAAAGTTGTGACAAAATGAGGCCAGGGCTTGTGTCCCTGATTCTGCAAATGCCAGCACTGCCCTGGTGTGAGAGGACAGAGCAGGAGGGATGGTGGGGCTGGAGGGATTACCTGGAGAAGAGAAGGCTCCAGAGTGGAGCCTACAAAAAACATGGAGAAGGACTTTAGATAAGGGCCTGGAGGGACAGGACAAGGGGAATGGTTTCTCCCTGCTAGAGGACAGGGTTAGATGGGATATTGGGAAGGAATTGTTTCCAGGGAGGGTGGGGAGGCCCTGGCCCAGGTTGCCCAGAGAAGCTGTGGCTGCTCCATCCCTGGAAGTGTCCAAGGTCAGGTTGGACTGGGCTTGGAGCAACCTGGGCTGGTGGAAGGTGTCCCTGCCCATGGCAGGGGGTGGAATGAGATGAGCTTTAAGGCCTCTTCCAACCCCAACCATTCCATGATTCTGGGATTGCTGAGGAGCCAGATGGGAGGCTGGGACACAACCCCCTCCCCTGCCCAGCCAGGGCTGAACTGAAGGTGCTTTTCCATTTATAAACCAGGGACTGTGCAAACTGCAGGAGGGGCCCTGGCCCCTGCAGGGGAAGGTGCAGGGATCTCACTGCAGTGAGAGCAACACTGCTCTGCATCTGGAGCTCCCTTGCTGCCCTCAGAGCCTGTTCAGGCCCACAGGCAGGAATATCTCTGGGCACTGACTCCATCCTGGATCTCAAATGGGAAAGGAAAAATTAGCAGTGACTGGGACATGAACCTCCCCATCTCTTCACGCCTGAAGGCTCAAGGAGGCCACTTTTGCTGAAATCCACACCCTGCTGGGAGGTTCTCTTTGCAGGGAGCCTGGCACCTTCCATCCTGCTCCCTGGTGGAACATGGAGCTGAGCCCACATCCCTTCCAACACAGTCAGGAGCTTTGGAGCAGCAGTCAGCAGATTCTCTGCTCTCCCAAGGTTTCCTCCCAGTTATCCACAGCCTGGAGCTGCTCCCACACTGCCTGATGCTTTTCCTGTTGTTGAGTCTTTGTGATGAATGTGACACTGATCCCAGCCTGCTGGGCTGGGGGAATTCTGACTTTCCTGCAGTGTAGGAGGTGGCTCCTCACTGCTGTGCTGGGACTGCACCTACAGGACCACAAACCTCAGCTGGGGAGTGCCCCCAAATACCCCAAAGCCCATCAGGGAGCAGAAATATCTGTATAAATGAGCTCTCCTGATGTCTTGTGCTGCTCTGAATGTCAGCGTTCCAGGGCAGCAGAAGCTCCCAGAGCATCAGGGATTTGCTTGGCAGCAGAAGGTGGGTCCAAAGCAGGGCTGTGTGAAGATCTGCCTCACCTGGGCCTCTGGACCACGTTCCTGAGACAGCCTTCCTCGTGTCTGAGGGCTTTTGTCAGCAGCAATGGGTGAAATGAGTTAACCCTGAGATGTCATGATGCCCACAGACCATTTTAGGCCTCCAGGCCTGGACATACCTGCTCTGCTTCTGTTCACAGATCAGCACCCCGGGGGCCTGAAAAGTCTGCTGTGATCATCACCTGGTTTGTAGCTCCCCTGCCCTCCCAAATCACCTGGAAGGAGCTGGAATAAGGATGGTTTGGGCACGTGGGACTTGTGCTGAGCCCTCTGCTGCAGGAGTCTGGGAAGGACAAGGCCCCGGGTGCCACTGGGACAGGACTGGTGGGTGAGTGGAGGACACACTGCCCCACACACAGCCCCCAGACCCCACTGCTCCTTGTCCAAGAGCAGAGTGTGGGTGAGAGACTCAGCTCCCAGTTTGCAGGGGTGTCCCCCCCCCACTGCAGTGGGGGCAGCCCCACACCCCGGGCACAGGGACCCCAAAGCTTCAGCTCTGCACCCTGGGCACAGGGACCCCACAGGGACCCCACAGCTCCTCCAGGAACAGAGACACCCAAAGTCACCATCAAAGGGAGCAGAAAAACCCATCAAGCCCATCAGAGAGATGAAATACCTGAAATACCAGCCAAGAGCAGGAACACCCCACAGCCCATAGAGGAACAGAAACATCCCAAAGCCCCTCAGGGAGCAGAAACATCCCAAAACCCATCAAGGAGCCCCAGTGGGGCTTGTGCAGCCCTGGACCCTGAGTAGAGGGACCCCACAGCCCATCAGAGAGGACAAATACCTCAAAGCCCACCAAGGAACAGGAACAGCCCAAAGCACCCTAAGGAGGCAGAGTTGGGCTCTGCACAGGGAGCAGGAACACCCCAAATCCCCTGGGCTGCCCAGAGCCTGCACTTCTGCTGCCTGGGACCTTCCAGGGACTGGGAGAAGCCACCTTTGAGGCTCCACATCTCTGCTTTGTCCCCATGAAAAACGAAACAGGAGCAGCCTGGTGAGCTCTGACATCACTTTCCATCAGCAGCGGTTTCCCCTCTCCCCCCCTGGATGTGGCTCAGGGTTCCCCCTCCTGGAAGCAGAGCCAGGAAGGTCTCCAGGACTCCAGGTTCCCCAGGGAGCCCAGCCCAGCGCTGCCATGGGGTTCTCAGCAGCACCACCAACTTCCACCTCCTGTGGAGGATGTGGCTTCCTAATTCCAGAGGTACCTTGGAAACTGGGAGTTGGCTCCTGCAGCCCTTCCTGGCAGCCCCTCCTCCACACGGATCAGCTGCAATTCCCAACCAGCTGATTAGAGGAGGCAAATGAATTCTTTCATTAGCAGGAGCATTGTTATAATTAGGGTAGAAATTTTAGAAAAGCAGAAGCGAGACCCCCCCCCCCTGTTTGATACAGTTTTAAGGCCTCCTTAATTAAAAAAAGAAGTAATGTGTGTATATTTGGTTGGGTTTTTTATATGTATCTATATTTGCCGGTTGTGTTGAGTTGCTGCAGTTTGTTAATATAAGTAAAAATCATCATTATCATAATTCATTGCAAAAAAAAAAATTAAAAATCAAGAGGTCACAGAGATATTTTGAGAGATGTTGGCGAATCAAAACAAATTGCATTTCCAGCAGCTGGCATTTGCAGCTCCTGCTCGGTCCCGAGCGATAGGATGGGGGAGGAAATAAATAGAGAGGCAGAAAGATAAATCCAGAGCAGCAGATAGACGGGTTTATGTAGCATTTTCATGTATCATTGTTGGGTGACATGGAGTGAGTTATCTCTGTAATTACAGCCCTCCCGCTCCCGGGACCCGCAGGGATCCCTGCCTGGAGCTGCTGCAGGGGAAGCACAGCCTGGGCTCCCCTCACACCCCCCCCAGAGCTCTCAGGCTGTGCTGGGGTCTGCAGGGACAGGGGGGACCCCAGCAGCACCCAGCTGTCCCCCCTGGCTGTCCCACAACCATGAAGGTTTGCCTTGGAAAGGACCTTAGAGCTCATCCAGTCCCACCCCTGCCATGGGCAGGGACACCTTCCACCAGCCCAGGTTGCTCCAAGCCCCGTCCAACCTGGCCTTGGACACTTCCAGGGATCCAGGGGCAGCCACAGCTTCTCTGGGCAACCTGTGCCAGGGCCTCCCCACCCTCTCAGGGAAGAATTCCTTCCCAATATCCCATCTAAAACTACTCTCACTCTGAAACCCTTCCCCCTTGAAATGATGGCTTGGAAAAGCACAGGGACTGTGCAATCATTTGGGCTTCTGTCCCTCTGCTCTTTGGGAGCTCTGAGGCCAGGACTCCACCTGAGATTGTTTCTCTTCAAAACCTGTAAATTGATTTTTGCCAGGGCATTTGAAAATGAGTTTTCTCCCCTCTTTTCAGAGCTGGGCTGTCACTGAAAGCCTTGCTCTAGGGTCCCTCATATCCCTGGACGAGTTGGTGTAGCTGCTGTTAACCTGCTTGTTTCAGTGCTGTGGTGGCTGAGATGTACCAAAGACACTGATAATTTCTGCTTGTTCTTGGTTCCAGGCAGCATTTTATTGCCTGTGGGGGTGGCAGCTCTGGGTCTCTGGGGATGTTGAGGCAGACAAGGTTTGCTGAATCTACCTGATTCCATCTCACCCATATGGGAAAGAGTCAACTCTGAACTTCCTGCACTTTGTATGGTTTTAGCTTTCTGGTTTATCACACCTTTCCTGTGTCCAGGACACACAGGCAGAGTGGTTGGCCACGAGTTGTGTCTTTCATGGTGATATTGTGGGGCTTTCCATGCCCCAGTTTTTGTTTGGCCAATCTGGAAGACAAGGAGGGACATTTTTCTTTCCTTTCCTCTTCATTCTTGGCACTTCCATGTGCTCAGGCCACCTCAGACACTTCCTGAAGGATGCAGAGCCTGGGCTGGGCTCCATCTCCTATGGGACAGGGGCAGGAACAAGGAATGCAGGCAGGTGCCAGCAGCTTGGAACATCCATGGCTTCATCATGTTCCTACAAATATGTGCAGAGGAGATTTCATACCCAGAAATCAGGGAATAACAGAAGGGGCACAGCAACAAGCTTTGGAGATAAAAGGTAACTTCACTTTCTGAACTAATTAACCCTAATCCTAAAACCCAGAACAGCAACATCTGTCTGGAGTCCAGCTGTGCACCCACAGCTGGGTGTGTCCTGCCACCAGCACCCTGGGGAACTCCTGCCTTGGGGCTTCCCAGGGACCCTCATCCATGGAACAGAGAGAAGAGCTGAGTTTCCCCCCTGCTCCTGGGCTCTGCAAGGTTAACAGGATGTGCTTGGTGAGTGAACTGCTGCGACATTCCTGGGATTTCTGTGGGGCTGAAGAGGGACAGGACTGAGGAGGTGCCTGTTATCCCCTGTAGCTGGGCATTGCAGCCAAGCAGTGAAGTGCTGATCCCTCCCCCAGCTCAGCACCCACCCCTTCCCAGGCCTGGCTCTGGGAGAGCCCCCAGAGCCCTGAACCTTGGCTGCTCCCAGCTCCTGGTGTTGCATAAACGCCTGATGTGATCTGGTGTCACACTCTCTGCCCTGTCTGGGTTCTGTCCCAGGCTGGAGAGGCAGATTGTCTGCACCACTCCTCCTCCTTGCCCTGTGTGCTTCCTCTTGGGGTGGAACACCTCCTGCTCTGCCCAGCTGACCCTCCTGCCAGCCTGGAGCCTCCACAGCTGCTCCCAAGGCTGGGAGAAGGTCGGTCCCAGCTCTGCTGGCTGTCACTGCACTGAGCCTCCTCCAGCAGCCAGAGGGTCAAATCCTTCCAGGAAAACAGAATCACTTCCAACGAGCACAAATGCAATTTGGAGGGGAGCTTTGTGGCTGGAGATTGCAGAGGCCAGAGGCTCTCCCAGGGCTGGGAGGGAGTGTGGAAGCTGGCAGCTCCCCCCAGCCTGCTGCTCACCCAGCTGCTCCATGCCAGGAGGAGAGCGTGGGACATCCCCTGCCAGCACAGCCCAGCCAGGCCCTGCACAGATCCAACCAGGCTGTGCCCAGATCCAGGCTGTGCCCAGACCCAGCCAGGCTGTGCCCAGATCCAGGCTGTGCCCAGATCCAGCCAGGCTGTGCCCGGATCCAGCCAGGCCATGCCCAGATCCAGGCTGTGCCCAGACCCAGCCAGGCTGTGCACGGATCCAACCCACATTCCCGACCCTCAGCCCTCAGGGCTGCTGGCTCCTGCCCATCAGCTGGAGTTGGGCACTGAGGGGAGAAGCCTGGGTCTGTGCAGCCCCAAAAAGAGCAGCTGAAGCTCTCAGGTGAAGTGCTCAGGTCCAGACACCTTCCCAAGCCTTTGCACTCCAGGTTCAAACCCTCCCCAGTGCCCTGGCACAGGAGGTGAGTGGGGCTGGGGTTGTCCCACTGTGCCCATCCAAGGTGAGAACTGCAGAGCAGCAGCACAGGGAGAATCTCACCCCCAACAGGTGCCAGTGGGACCTTGGGGACACTGTTGGTATCAGACAGGGGGTTGTGGCTGCCCCATCCCTGGAAGTGTCCAAGGCCAGGTCGGACAGGGCTTGGAGCAACCTGGGACAGGGAAAGGTGTCCCTGCCCATGGCAGGGGTGGGAGGAGATGGGTTTTAAGGTCCCTCCCAACCCAAACCAGACTGTGATTCTGTGATACTATTTTGGGATTTTGAGCTTCAGACAACTCTTTATGATCTCATGTGTTGGGACTTCAGGTTTTTCCAGACCCGTAGACCATCACCCACAGTTGGCTCTTGGTTCACCCCCTGTGTGATGGGGAGGGTTCTCCTTCCTCCTGCACAGCAGGGGCTGCTCGGGGGGGCAGCAGCCAACAGGATCATCTGAAAAGTCATTTTTGGGGAGCTCTGTGTCCCACATGTGCCATCAGAGCTTCTGTCCCACCCCTGTGAGCTGCAGTTGTCCCGATTCAACTCCTTTGGTCCATCTGCAGAAACCTGGGAAGAGGAAAAGCTTTGGCACCGTTGGCTCACAGGACAATCTCTGTTCTCCTGTGATACCCTGGGGTTGAGGTGAGGACAATTGCTGATGGCTTGGATTGCACAAAGGATTCCACCACAGCTTGTCCTGAAAAATTAAGATCTTACAGACATCCATGAGCTGAGTGTCCCTTCCAAGCCTGATTTCAAAGTATTCATCTTTTTGAAATGTTTAATTATAATTGCCTTAAATTTCAAAACAAGAGGTCATCTGAACTGGAAAATAGATTGTTTTCTTCTCCTTTGAGAATGTCAAAACACTTCATTTTGACAAATTCAGAACTCCTTCCAAATTTTTTTCTGACTCAATAAATTAATCAAAACCGACCTCCTCTTAAAGTAAGTGTCAGTTTTGAAAAAATCAGCATTTTCCAGTGGAGAAAAACCACAATTCATCCAGAAATTCCTGCGACTTGTTCTCTATGTGCCTCTCCTGTGCTGCATTCCCAGTACCTGGGATCCAAGCTGGATTAATTACACTGGGCAAGGAGACAAAGTCAGGAGCAGCACCAGCCTGAGTGGGAAATTTTTTTTCCGATTCAGAGATAAGTTGAAAACATTTCTCTTTTTCCTTATTTCTCCAAGTGTGAGGCTGAACAGACTTTCCATGTGTGGTGTCCACAGGGGGTTTTTCTGCTGCAGCCTGTGACCCTTGAAATTCCCCCCTTCCCACCCAGCCTGTGCTCTCTGTTCCTTCCCATTTCCCCTAAACCCAGGCTGCAGCTCCTGTGCCTATAAACACCAATTTATTGCTGATGCAATCCAAGAGGGGCTTTAAAAAACCCTTGTACCTCAGTGAATCTTGAGGAATTCAGCTGGGACCAGACACTGATCCAAAATACACATGTGAGGATCCAGACACGTGAGTCTGGGATAACTTCAGCACCCCAGTTCTGGGGGGTGTAATGGGGCAGGAAAAGCAGAGTCTATAAAACTCTGGTGTCAGAGAACCACAGAATCCCAGAGTGGTTTGGGTTGGAAAGGACCTTAAAGCCCATCCCATTCCACCCCCTGCCATGGGCAGGGACACCTCCCACCAGCCCAGGCTGCTCCAAGCCCCGTCCAGCCTGTCCTTGGACACTTCCAGGGATCCAGGGGCAGCCACAGCTTCTCTGGGCAACCTGTGCCAGGGCCTCCCCACCCTTACAGCCAACAATTCCTTCCCAGCATCCCATCTATCCCTGCCCTCTGGCAGTGGGAAGCCATTCCCTGTGTCCTGTCCCTCCATCCCTTGTCCCCAGTCCCTCTCCAGCTCTCCTGGAGCCCCTTCAGGCCCTGCAAGGGGCTCTCAGCTCTCCCTGGAGCCTTCTCTGCTCCAGGTGAACCCCCCCAGCTCTCCCAGCCTGGCTCCAGAGCAGAGGGGCTCCAGCCCTGGGATCCAAGGTCTCCTTTTCCACTGCAGAGCCTGAGGGGGGATTGGGCTGTGATCAAAGTGAAGCTCTGGGTCAGCTCTGGGCACTGGCACTGGCAGGACGGGCTGGGCAGCTTTGGGCTGGGAGGATCTGTGGGGTGACTCTTGGGGCTGGGCCTGTGCAGGGCTGAGGGTTGGACTCGATGGTCCTCGTGGGTCCCTTCCAGCTCAGCCTGTTCTGGGATTCTGGGATTTTCCTGGCATCTCCTTACCCTGGGGAGTGGCACAGAGCAGACACAAGCTGCCCAAAGGGAGTTTAAAGCCACCCCGTGTGAGTGCCAGGGTTTCCTGGGAAGCACTGGCACCTCAGGAGACCAGGAGTGCTCAGCAAACTGGGCACTGAGGGACACGGTGCCCTCTCCCAGGCACACGGGGCATCCAACACCCTCCTCCTTCACAGCAAACCTCACAAGTGCTTCCTGTGGGGAAAGAACCCCCCCAGAGCTGTGCTGGGGGAGGATTCCAGCTGGATTCAGGCAAAACCACGTGGGGAGGGACCCACTGTCTGACCTGCTGGGCAGTGATGCCACCCATGCCCACGCCCTGGTCATTTGACCTGTACAACTGATGTGACTGCAGAGTCTGCAGAGCTGCACGGGGGTTTTAGAGCTGCCAGTGGCACTGAAACAGAAGAACTATTTCCTCCCTGAATCCAGCACCCTGTGTGATCCAGGCCAGAGCGGGATGGCAGGGATTTCCCAGGGATTTCCCAGGGAAAGGCTCCTGCCCCAGCTCTCCCTGCTGCTGATCCAAGGCAGACACGGCCCCTGGAGTGGCTGTGGGTGCCTCGGGGGTGCCCTGGCTGTGGGATGAGCAGCGTGGCTGGGATGGCACAGGGGGAGCAGCACAGGGCAGGGTCTGGCTGTGCTGCCCCAGGTGGGACTGTGGATCCTGATCCCAGACCAGCCAAGCTCCACTACCAGCCTGGAGTGACAGCCTGTTTTCCCGGGGTGTGAGAAGGGCCGAGCTCTTTGTTGGGATCCAGGACTGATTCACCAACACCTGCAAGGTGATGGCTGGGACAGGGATGGAGGGGACAGTGCCACCACCACGACAGCACAGACAGCCTGGCTCTGCTGGCACTGTGGCCAGTGGTCCCTGGGCCAGAGGGGATGTGTCTGCCTTGACCCTCTGCCCCCCCCCGAGTGCCTCCTGTCAGCACTGGAAACGAAACCCCTCGTGCAAACGAGCCCGAATTCCCCAAGGAATTCTCCCACCTTCCCTGCTCCTCCAATCAGCTCCCCCAGCCACAAATCCTGGCAGCCACCACGCAGCCACCTCGGAATGAAGTTGCCATAGTTACTGGGGCCTCACAGCAGCGAGAGCTCGTTAAATGATTGGAATGGCTGCCCCATCATCAAGGCACTCGGGGAGGGCAGGTCTGGCGGGGAGGAGACCCCCGGGATGGGCTCCAGCCCCTGCAGTGGGAGGGATGTGGGAGAGCAGCTCCAGAGCCTGCCCAGCTCCAGAGTCCTCACAATCCAGAGCCTGCCCAGCTCCAGAACCCTCCCAGCTCCAGAGCCTTCTGAGCTCCAGAGTCCTCACAATCCAGAGCCTTCTGAGCTCCAGAGTCCTCATAATCCAGAGCCTGCCCAGCTCCAGAGCCCTCCCAGCTCCAGTCCTCATAATCCAGAGCCTGCCCAGCTCCAGAGCTCTCCCAGCCCCGGAACCCTCCCAGCTCCAGAACTCTCCCAGCTCCAGAGCTCTCCCAGCTCCAGTCCTCACAATCCAGAGCCTTCCGAGCTCCAGAGTCCTCCCAGCTCCAGGCACAAGCTCAGGAGAGAGGGGTGACCCAGAGCAGTGACAAAGGATGCTTCCCACCCTGTGCATCTCCTCTTGGAGACAGAAGTGGGCACCTGGATCCTCTGCCAGGGTCTCCTTCCCAGCATTTCCCCCGGCTGTGGCTGAGGCTGCAGTCACTTCTTCCCCCAATGCTGTGTCCTCACCTCCAGCAGTGATGGTTTCCCACTTTCCCATCCTCTCCAGCAGCCCAGGAGCCAGTGCTGAGTGTCTGGTTTCCCCCAGGAGACTTGTTTGAAACATGACCTGAGCCTTCCTCCTCTTCCAATCCATATTTTACAAATTGCTGTTTAACTAAAAAAAAACCAAAAAACCAAAACACAACAAACCCACATCTTATTTTGGATTCACCCAAAACATTCCTCCAAAATAAGGTTTAATCTTCCTTTTCTTTTTTTTTTTTTCATCACCAAGACAAGGCTGTGAAGGACAAGTATTTTGGGGTTTAGCTTAAGCCCATGCAGTTTTAAGAAAAAAAAAAAAAAGAGGTATTAAACGTATCATGGAATACTACAGGGGAAGTAAAAAAAAACCAAACCAAAATATCCTGCTGGAAGAACCTCAGGGGTTTTTGAGCACCTTTACTCGGGGAGGAGGTCGCTGTGGTGTCCTCAGCAGGAGGATGGGGCTGTGCAGGGACAGCTGCAGGACGTGGGTGAGGGCACTGCTGGCTCTGGGAGATCAGAAGGTGCTCCCAGGGGGCTGGTTGCTGGGAGATGAAGGATTCCCAGCTCCCTCAGCCTGTCAGCAGCCAGAGCCTCTGGAGGAGCCCCCCTTCCCTGCTCCAGCCCTGCTCCTGGCAGTGCCCTGGGCTGGGCAGAGCTCCCAGCTCATCCATCCCTGCCCCCAGAGCCAGCCCAGGGCAGGGGTTTCTTTATTCCCTTCAGCCATCCCAGCTCCCCCAGGCCCAGCCAGGCAGGGAGCTGGATGTTCCCATGACATGGGCAGAGCTGCTGAGAAGCCCCCTGAGCCCCTGCCCTGCCCCAGGGTGGTGCTGTGGGGGCATTTGGGAGCTCCCCCACCCTGGCAGGGACACCCTTCCCCTGCTGGGAGCCACGAGCTGGCTGGGCCAGGGCAGTTCCTACCCCATGGAGCTGGGGCTGCCCTTCCTCCCCCCGAGGATGCTGCCCTTTGCTGGGCCAGCTCTGGGGCCCTGGGCTCTGTGGGCTGATTTCAGCAGCAGTGGCAGCTCTGCAGGTCTCCTCTGGTGTTTCCCCACAGCACAGGGAGCACCAGTGGCAGCTCCCAGGGGCTCCTATGCTCCCACAGCCCCGGAGCTCCCTCCCCAAGGGAGGCCAGGCCTGCACCCCTGGCTGTGCAGGAGAGCTATCAGGGTACACGGATAATCTTTTACTCTTCAGTGCAAATAATTTATTACATTAAAATAACGTTTTTAAAAAATGAGTACTTTGGGAATAATTCAGGCTCGCCTGCGGAGGCATTTTTCAAAGTGCCATAATAGGCACTTAGAAATGGGTGGTTATTTTTATTCTCCCAGCCTGTCAAGAAGCTGATGGATCGAATTGGCTGATGACAAGGCAGCTGAGTGCTCGGAGAGGAGACCACAGCGGGAGCAGGAGCCTGTTCCAAACGAGCAGCCAGCCCAGGTCGGGGCCTCCCCGCAGCACTGGCAGCTCTGCAGCAGGACCTGCTCCCCCCGGGTGACAGTGACCTGGGCAGGGACATCTGAGTGGGCACAGGCAGAGAACAGGCAGAGAACAGGCAGCCCTGGGACCCCTCTGCTCTCCAGCTCCCTCCTGGCACTGGGGAGCAGCATCTCCCTCCCCCTCTCCATCCCAGTCTGGTGGAAGTCCTGCTTCCCACATCCCCAGCCCCTCTCCAGGAGGATGAGCATCCCTGGGGGTGGCACCGGGACCCCTGTGTGAGTGGGACCACAGCCAGACAGCCATGGGAGAGGGGAAGGGGAAAACAGACATGGAGAGGGGAAGGGGAACAGCCCCATTGGCAGGGGGGGCAGTTGTGAGAACCACAGTACCCCGAGCAGGGTCAGAGCACCAGCCAGCTGGGGGGATGCCCAAACTTATCTCCTGATGATGGGTCTCTCCTCATATCACAGCGCTCTCCATCCTCACCCTCTTCACCACAGCCAAAAATAAACCTTCCTCCTTCATCTCACCTCAAAACTGGCCAGGCTGCTGTGAACCTTGCAGCCAGAGACCTGTGTCAAGGGATGGGGCCTGGGCATGTGTGCCCACAGACTGGCATCTGCCTCCTGAGCAGGGCTGGCGTGGCTGGGAGAATGCCACCTTGCCCGTGGCTGGCTCCTGGCTGGAAGGATTCTCCTCACATGAGTTAATCTCACAGCCTGGCAGCCTCTGCTGGCTCCTTGTTATCCCCTTTCATACATGGAAAATGATTTCCATGGAGCCAGAGGGCAAGTGCCTAGTGGTGACTCCAGAAGGGCACTGATCACCTTGGCATCCCAGACTCCCATCCTCACATCCCTTGGTCAGCTCCAAGCCTTGGCTCTGCAGCCAGTGTGTGCCACAGGGCAGGAGAAATCCAAACTCCCTGTTCCCGTGTCCCAGACTGGGTGGAGCAGGTAACAGAGCAAGGAGGCAGAAGGGCTCAGGTGCATCTGGATCCACCATCCTGCACCCCGTGGGCACTGCCCCTGCCCTGCTGCCAGGACAGCACCTGCAGGAGTGTTCCTGGCACAGTTCATCTGCCAGCTCCTCGCTGCAGCCAAGGATTTGTGAGAGCTGCCCTCTCCAGGGAGCCCACCCTGCCAGGCTGGGTCAGATCCTTCCCTCAGCCCCCAGTTCCTGGTCTCAGAGCAGGGCAGGTGTCCCCAGGGCAGTGCCCGACCTTTCCCAGCTCTGCTGCCCTCCCAGCAGGAGCAGAGGGGCCCAGAGCTGTGCCCTGCAGCTCAGCCCCGACTGAGCCCAGGCTCTGGCACAGCCCCTGCCCAGCCCTGGGTGGGCTCTGGGCCCCGGAGCCTCCCTGAGGCACCTCCCCAAGTCATCCCTGCCGGGGGAAAGCCGGCTGAGGTGTTGTGTCAGGGTGAGGAGAGGGGAGGGAGGGAGAGCTGCAGGAGGCCCGAGGTGCTCCTGAGCTGTGAACCACTGCTGAGCCATCACAAGGGGTTGGCACTGCAGTGCCCTGCCATGGGCCAGCCCAGCTCCTTCTGCTGCCTGAGCTTTCCCACGCTCAGAGACCAGCAGGGCGTCCCTTGGAGCCTCCCTGAGCCCTCCTGAGCAGGACCAGCCTGGACACTGAGGCAGAGATTGCTGGGGAAGCATCTCCAGCAGCTGCTCCTGGGGCTGAAGGAGTAACCCTGGCTGGCTCCAGGGTCAGAATCCTTCCTGCTCTTGCAGAGGCTTGGAAGGGGAGGTTCAGACGTGGTCCTGGAAGTGTGAGGCAAACCCATCCAGTGCTGTGATCAGCTTCATTAAGAGTTTAATTGGTACAGAGCCGTCCAGTCCTGCTGGAGGTGGAGAGAGCCCCGAGCCAGGCATGGGGAGCACGTGGGAATGCTGGAAACCTGTAACCACTGCTGAGGGGTTCCCACAGGACCTGGGGGGTGCAGAAGGGAAGGCTGGAGAGTGATGGATATTCTGGGGAAGCTCCAGCCTTGTTTTTCACCCCACTCACCAGGGTGGACAATGGATGTCCTGGGGGAAGCTGTGGGACCCTCGGGTCCTGTTTTTCACCCCACTCACCAGGGTGGACAGGCAGCCCCACCAGCAGCTTGGGATCTCTAGAGGGCATTGGGAGCACCCTGTGATGGCTCTACAGAGGTGAGGATGCTCAGACTGCACCCTCCTGCTGCCCTGGCAGCCCCTGCCCAGCTGGTCCCACTATTTGCAGCTCCTCCAGGCTGAACTCCAGTTCCTGGCTGGGGATCCCAGCTGCAGACACAGAGGTGCTGGGCCGTGCAGCTGAGGCTCTTCCCTGATGCTCCTGCCTGTCAGAGCCTGGCAGGCTGTGGAAGAAATGAAAAGGAACATCACTTTGAATTTCAGAGCCCAGGAGTTGCAGCATCTCCCTCTCTCCCAGCCTCCTGCTGCACTTTCAAAGCTCTCCTGATGCTCAGGAATTGATTCTCTATTCTGGGAGGCAAGGAGGGTTTACAGGCTCATCTCCACCCTACTGTGCACAGAGCTGACAGGATACATGCCCAGGGTGGTATCAAGAGCCAGAGGCAGAGCTGACAACTGAGGAACTCTCTCTTATTCTTCCTCCCACTCCATCCTTTAAAAGTCCCAGTTTCCTCAGGAGTGATGGGCCAGGTTAAGGTGGGAAAAAAACACACCTGGTGCTGTGTCTGCTGGGATTTTCCTGCTAATCCTGCTTTCCTTGGAGAAGGTTTTAGGGCTCTGAGAGACTTGTTTCCCTGCACTGCAGCCTGGATGACACACTCAACTGGCCCTGCTCTCCTACAGCTCAGGGAGGGGACACAGAGAACATGCTCCAAGGACCCAAAGCCTTCATCTCTTCTCCATCTCCCTGATATCAGGGCATGTCCAATTAGAAGCAACGACCCCCTTTGACCTTCTTTGGTTTGAAAAGCCTCACTGTGTTGGATTTGTGTTGGTTTAGATTCTCTCCAGCTCACGTGTCCGTGCAGTGGGGGTGGAAGGGTCAGTGTGTGATGTGCTCAGAGGGGAGGGGGCAGAGCTGCTGCCCTGGGCCAGAACAGCCCCTTCTCTGCACCAGGGGCAGTGGGGGGAGTGCACACCACAGCATTCCTGCTTGAGGGGTGTCCTACTCACCAGAGGCACCAGCACAGTGCTGTCCATCCCGTGTCCCCAGAGGAACTGCAGTCAGGAACTGGAGGGACAGAACAAGGGGGAATGGCTTCCTGCAGGGTTAGATGAGATACTGGGGACAAATTCTTCCCTGTGAGGGTGGGGAGGCCCTGGCCCAGGTTGCCCAGAGAAGCTGTGGCTGCCACTGGAATCCCTGGAAGTGTCCAAGGCCAGGTTGGGCAGGGCTTGGAGCAACCTGAGCTAGTGGAAGGTGTCCCTGCCCATGGCAGGGGGAGCAACGGGATGAGCTTTAAGGTCCCTCATAACGCAACCCATTTTATGATTCCATGATTCTGTGAAGGACCCTCTGAGCAGGATCACAGCCAGGAAAGCAGCTCTGCTGAGGGATGAACACAGAGGCTCCTGCTCAGTGAAAAGCCTCAGCTAAAGGCAGAAGTTGGGCAGCAGTTTATTGCAGTTTACTCCAGAATCCTGCTGTGGTTACTTGGGTGAGCAGTTGGGATCGATGCTGCTGTGGCCTCCACTTGCAGGTCCATGAGAACAGCATTTTCTTGGACAAAGAGTGGTAAAACCTCCCTGTTTTCCAGTGGAGATGAGTGTGGGTTGCAGACTGAGAGGAGCCCTGGGCAGAGCTGTGTGTCCCCCCATCACAGCCAGATGTGGTGGCACCTCCTGAGCACAGAGGGGCAGCCAGGATTGTCCACCAGGAGAGCCAGGGAGCACCAGCACAGCCCCCAGGGCCAGTAGAGACATCCACAAGGAGCAATCCCAGGTCTTCAGGCTCAAGTCTGACTTGTCTCAGTCAGACAAGTGCCAGATTCTACGCCTGGGATGGGGCAACCCTGGATGGGAAACCTGGGGAATGAGAGGATGGAGGGGAGAACCATGGGAAGGGATCTGGGGGGTCCTGGTGGGTGCCAGTTGTCCCTGAGTCAGCAGTGCCCTGGCAGCCAGGAGGGACATCCCTGTCCTGGGGGCATCAGGGAGGGGATTGTCCCGCTCTGCTCTGCCCTGGGGCGGCCTCACCTCAACATTGGGGCAGTTTGGGGGGACACAATGGAGGGAAGATCTAAAGCTGTTAGGGAGGTGTTCAAGGGAGGGACACGAGGATGGTGAAGGGTCTGGAGGGGCCATGAGGAGCAGCTGAGGGCACTTGGTGTGTGCAGCTGGAGCAGAGCAGGCTGAGGGCAGAGCTCAGCGGGGGCTGCAGCTCCTCCCCAGGGGCAGCTCCGATCTCTGCTCTGGGGGAGCAGGGACAGCACCCAGGGAAGGGCTGGAGCTGTGTCAGGGCAGGCTCAGGTTGGATCTCAGGCAAAGGTTCTTCCCCCAGAGGCTGGTTGGGCACTGCCCAGGCTCCCCAGGGCAGTGGGCACAGCCCCAAGGCTGCCAGAGCTCCAGGAGGGTTTGGACAACGCTCTGAGGGCCAGGGTGGGATTGTTGGGGTGTCTGTGCAGGGCCAGGAGTTGGACTGGATGATCCCTGTGGGTCCTTCCCAACTCAGCACATTCTCTGTGCCTATGATTCCATGATCCCTGACCCCTTCCCACAGGCTCCTTTGCCTTGCTCAGTGTGAGGAGCTCCTGTGCTCTGGCTCAGTACATAAAGATGTCCCTGTGCCTTGCAGATGGAGCCTGTTGTCAGCTCTGTGATTTAGTGTGGCTCAGCTGAGGCTGCAGTGAGTGTGTGAACACGCAGGGCCTCAGGCATTCCAGGAGCAGATGCAGACACGTGGGCCCAGACCCCCATTTTTCCAGCCAGCAAATGGAGAGAGAACAGTCCACGGGCTCTGGTTCAAACAGGATCTGAAATATCCTCCTGGAAGGGTTTTCCAGAAATAAATGAGATGTATAAAGACTGGAAGCAAGGGAAGAATGAACACATGGAGAGCTGCAGCAGGCACTGTGTGCCCAAGGAAAGGCACTGCTGTGGCTCTGCCCTGCAGCCACCTCCCCTTCCCTGAGCTCCTGTGGGGCAGGGCACAGGAGTCTCACACCCTTTGCCACACACTTTTGCAATGAGGGAAGAGGAATTGCTTTCTTCAGGCACCTTTATAAGGGCATTCCCAGCACAGGCATCACTCATGGGATTCTCACAGCTCCAGGAAGGGATTACCATGGAGCAGTGCTTCGTTCCTGACCTGACCCACACTCTGTCTGTCTCTGCTCCACTCCAGAACTGTTCAGGTGTTCAATTCCTGGCTCTGATTCCTGTCTATGCCACTGCTAGGATGTTAATCTGGACCTCTAGAAAGACTAGAGACCCTTCAGAGGATAATGTGGCTCCTGGGATGGCTGGGAGCAGAGACAGAAGCAATCAAAGTCTGTGTTCCTGCATTTCCAGCAAAAGGCTGGGGCTTGCTGGGGTTGGGGCCCTGCACATTCAGGTGTTTCAGTCATTTATTTGTGGAAGGGCCATTTCTGCACCAAGGTTTTGTCAGCTCAGCTGCAGACCCTGGGCAAAGTCTTCTTGTTTCCAAGCTTTATGGTGGAAACCAACAGGAGAGCAGCTCTCCTGGAGCCAAACATGTCCCCACCTTGTGCTGCTGCCCGTGAGTGGGGTCCCTGGACACAGCCAGTGCAGCTGAGCATCCCTCCCTGGCTCCAGTGTCCTGTCCCCCTCTGCCAGCACAGTTGGCCTTCCCTGCCCCCAGTGGCTGTGCAGACACAGGGGGTGTCCCCCAGCCCAGCCCTGGGCACCTCCCTGGCATCTCAGCTCCCCTCAGGCTTTCCCATTCCCCCACATCTGCCCCTGCCCCACACAGCAAGACACTGCCCCAGAGGGTGTCCAGGACAGCCCTCCCAGAGCAGAAACCTCATGCCTTGGTCTCCTCTGGTGTGGAGAAGATGGTGAAAGTGCCTTCTCCAAGAAGAACAAACCAGTGAAAAAAACCTTCCAGTTTCAGCTCTTTTCCAGAAAAGGTACAAAACATCTTCAAGTATTGGCCACACAAACCCCAGGAAGACCTGACCCCAGCCCCATCCCCAACCTCCCTGCTCCAGATGAAGGACTCACTCCACCAGCATTTGTGTGTGTTGTTCCACAGCCTCTCTTTTTTTTCACTGCCCTGAATGCCAAAATGGCCTTTGGGGGCTGGGGAAGTCTTGGTCCCCTCACCCCAGTGCCCTGTGGGACCCCCAGCAGTCATTTATCCCTCCCTAAGCAGGGTAGGGGAGGTGAGGTGACTCCCTTCTGGAAATCACCAGCACTAGGGGAGATCAGAGTGTATTTGGGGGTCTGTGTATCTCAGGGCTGTGCTTTGGTTCCCCAGTCATCAAATCTTCTTCCCCCTTGTCATAAGCTGGATGTGAGGGATGGGGAGAAGGGGGTGGTGTGGGCACTGGGAAGGAACATGTTCAGAGGTCCCTGAGTTGCTCAGGGGTAACTGCACAGCACCTTCAGGGGCTCGGGAAGAGGACTTTCCTTCTGAAAATATGGAACCAGATTGGAAGAGCTGCCAGCCCAGCTCCTTGCTGGGGGAAACCTCCACCCTGGGAGGCAGCCAGTGCAGCTGAGGGGGGCCTGAGTGGGCACTGAGAACTGTGCTGGACCAAAAATGAAAGTAGGGGAAGAACCTCCTTGGTTCAGCACCCCCAGCCTGGAGGACACTCCTGTCCCTGGGGGAGGGAGTGCAACCTTGGCTGGCTGTTGTGCTGTGCTTCCCAATAGGCACCAAAGGCTGCCTGGGGCCTCAGGATATGAAGGCAGCCATCCCTTGAGCTGCCTGTGTGACCTTCCCTTTCCTGCACCCCCCCCCAGAGCTGACCTGTCTTGCCACAGGACCCTTGGCCCCAGCCTGGGCAAAGCTCTGGGATGGGACCTGGGAACTGGTTCTTGGCTGCTCTCCATCCTTGGATACCAACCATTCTGGCTCAGCTGAGCCTCGCAGCTCACCCTCTGGGAATCCCAGGAAGCCCTCGGGTGGGAATGCCCCTGTGAGGTCCCCCCTCCCCCTTTTATCACATGTTTAATTATGTGCTAATGCAGAGCCCCGGCGTTGCTCCCAGGGAGCCTCCAGGCTGTTCTGGGCATGGCGAGACCCCTCTGTGTCCTCTGGGGAACCAAGAAGGACTGGACTGCTTGGATATAACTGGTTGCATCTGCATTTCTGCCCGCTCAGCTGGACCTGCCCAGGACACACGGGAGGTGCGAGCGGGAGGTGACTCTGTCCGTCCCCATTCCCGCAGCTCCTTCCCTTTTGTTGCCACTTCCCTGGCTCTCCATCCCAATCCTCCGGAGCCAATGGTGTGAGTGGCTTCGTGCTTCCCTCTAGCGGTCCCAGCTCCCCTCCGGAGTCACTGCTGCTGCCCCTGCTCAGGTGAGCCCACCCTGTCCCTCGCGGGATCCCACCCTGCCCCTCCCGGGATCCCACCCCGTCCCTCCCGGGATCCCACCCCGTCCCTCCCGGGATCCCACCCCGCCCCTCCCGGGATCCCACCCTGCCCCTCCCGTGTCCCCCGTGCTCTGGGCAGAGCAGCCACACGAGCAGAGGGACCTGGGGCAGGGTGACCTGGAGGATGGGTCACAGTGGGGCTGCCTGGGACAGGATGTCTCAGCTGGGTGCTCATCCCCACCCCGTGGTCTCTGAGGGGTCTCTCCTCACCTTGCAGGGCGTTCCTGCCTTTGGGCTGTTGGAAGGTCCTTGTCTGAGCACGGGGGCACAGACCTTGGTCACAACAAAATCCTGTGGCTGGTGTTTAGGATGTTTTTCTCCTTGTTCACCTGAAAGATTTTGCAGTCTTCCCAAAATGCTGACTCAGCTAAATTTCGGTGCTGGGTCCACAAATGGTGTTTTCTGCCTGGACACTGGCCCAGGAATAATCCTGTTCTCCTCTTTAAGGACTGACTAGTGGAGTCAATTCTCTCAAGTCAAAGCCTTGATGGAGCAAATGCAGCTTTTGTAGGAGTGTTCCTGTTCTGGACTGCCTGGGATGGAGCTCAGGCTTTGCTGGCACAGTAGGTTCTCACCTAAAGAAACCTCTTGATCCTTCAAAGAGCTCTTTGGGCTCTCAGATTCATCAGGGTCTTGGTCAACAGCAGCTGAACATGAGCCAGAGTGTGTCCACGTGGGCAAGAAGGCCAATGGTGTGGCCACAGGCCCAGGGCAGTGACTGTCCCTGTGCTGGCACTGCTGGGGCACCTCCAGCCCTGGGGGCAGTTCTGGGGCACTCAGAGCAAGAGAGACACGGAGGGGCTGGAGTGTGTGCAGGGAAGGGAATGGAACTGGGGAAGGGTCTGGAGCAGTAGGAGCAGCTGAGGGAGCTGGGGGGGCTCAGCCTGGAGAAAAGGAGGCTCAGGGGGGACCTTCTGGCTCTGCAACCCCCTGACAGGAGGGGGGAGCCGGGGGGGGGTCGGGCTCTGCTCCCAGGGAACAAGGGACAGGAGGAGAGGGAACGGCCTCAAGCTGTGCCAGGTGAGGATTAGATTGGATATTAGGGAAAATTTCCACATGGAAAGGGTGGTCAGGCACTGGAAGGGGCTGCCCAGGGAGGTGGTGGGGTCCCCACCCTGGAGGTGTCCAAGGAAGGACTGGCCATGGCACTGAGTGCTCTGGGCTGGGGGACAAGGTGAGCATCAGGGACTCCATGACTTGACTTTCCAACCTAAATAATCCTGTGAGTCTGTTGCCAAGGTGCACTGAAGATGCAGGGAATGGGCCCCACTGGGGAGGGATGTATCCAACTTCTGAAGGACAAAGTGGTGAAATGAGAACAGGGCAGAGGCTGCTCCAGAACAAACACACCCCTGGGCTGGCTGGGGAAAGGAAATCATGTCTCTGTCGGTGATGACTTTGTGTCCTGCACCAAGAGCATGAACTCAGCAGCTGCTTTCCATGGAGGAATTCAATCCCATTCCTTCAGGAGCAGTGCAAGGCAGGCAGCCTGGCAGCTCCTGGGTGCCCAGCCAGAGGAGCAGGTCGGGCTGGTGTCACAGTGAGCATCCACAAGTGCACGGGGCAGGTGCCAAAGAAGTTCTGACTTGCCCCTCCCTTAGGCCAGTGCATCTCTAACCTGGTTATCCCAGTAAAACAAAGCAACCCAAGCTAACTGGGAAAGCTGCCAGGGTCTGGCACATGGAGTTGGTTCTTCTTTAGCCCCCCCAGGTGCTGTTCAGCCCAGCCCAGCTACAGGGACAGGCTGAGGCAGCTGCTGAGTTCATGCTCTTGGTGTAGGACAACAGGGATAAGGTCACATAGAAGGGGCCACACATGCCAACATTACAAGATAATTTTAGTAGGGAAGTCATCTTGTGCACTTACATCCCTCTGAGGACTTGGGCCCTGGTAGATTCCATTCATTTCCCCATCACATCATGCTAAAAAGCAAGTGGGAAGCTGTGGCTCCAGGCCTGGGAAGTTGTTAGTGAGGCCAATCACGCCTGATAATTAGCACTGAGAGCACTGAGCTCATCCACTTCTCCTCAGCTCAGCATTGTCCTTGTCTTGCTACATTACTTTTTGGCAGTGGCCCAGCCAGCACATGAGAGATATTGAACTGACCTTAGAGCAGAGCAATAAAGCACGAGCAGAGCATCAACACCCGTCCCTAACCCACAGATCATCAGGAGGCAGCCAAAGACTTGTCAACTCTGGTGACCTCCACATCTCCCCAGAGCCCTGAATGAGCCAGTCTGGCAGAGGAGGGGCTGGGCAGCCCCCTGGGCAGGATGGCAGCACCCCTTGGTGTTGGGGGTTTAGGAGGAACAAAGGGGATTGGCTGTTTTTGGATGTTTTTGCTGTCTGGTTTCTCCAAGATGCCCAAGTTCATTGCCCCATCTCCAGCCTTGACTTTCTGTCTCTGTACAAGGAAACCTCCACATTGTAGCTGTGCCCCTGCATTTACATCCACTGCTAAAATCCACAGGGTTCAGTGATGTGCAGGGAGCACCATTAATTTTCCCAGCATGAGAAGCAGCTCAAAAGCTTGATAGGTTTTATTTTAAAATAAATTAGTAAAGGAAGGAGAAATAACAAGCAAAACCCTAAAGAAAACAGCAGTGATGTTTACACAGGACAGTGTGTATGTGCATGTCTCAGCTGCCAAACAGAACCACAGAATCATAGCAGACCTTGGGTTGGAATGGACTTTAGAGGTCATCTAGTCCTCTTGCCATGGGCAGGGACACCTTCCACCACACCAGGTTGCTCCAAGCCCCATCCAAGCTGGTCTTGGACACTTCCAGAGATGGGGCAGCCACAGCTTCTCTGGGCAACCTGGGCCAGGGCCTCACCATCCTCATTGTAGAAAACATCTTCCTTGTATCTAATCTAAGTAATTTCTCTTTTACTTTAAGACCATTACCCCTTGTCCTACCACAACAGGTCCTGCTAAAAAGTTTGTCCCCATCATTCTTCTGGGACCCCTTCAAGTACTGTCATAGACCCTTCGATGGCCAGGACAGGCAGGGTGAGGACAGTGACACTGTCCTGCTGTGGGAAGGAGCAGGAGAGGCCCAGTGCTGGCCCTGCACAGAGCCTGCAGCCCCAGCTCTGTCACTCTGTGTGGCTGACGTTGGCTGCTGGTGTCACTCGGGGTATTACCAGGGCTTTGCTCTGTCCTCTGGTGCCAGATCCTTCTGCAGGAATATCCCCTTTGACCTCAGATCATAGAATTTCTGAGTTGGAAGGACCCACGAGGACCATCCAGCCCAACTCCTGGCCCTGCACAGACACCCCAACAAGACCTCAGGCAGCCAAGCAGACATGGTCCTTCTGTGGGTGGCACCCAGCTCCAAGCATGCACAGCCAGCTGCTGATTTCCCTCGGAAGGACACAAGTGCATCCTCTCCTTTCATGGAGCACCACACATGCTGGGGGCTGTGGGGGCAGAGTGAGGCCAACAAGAGCTGAGGGTCTCACTCGGGGAGCTTTTCATGTCATGCAAAGAAAAGGGACCAGAATTCCTTTGGCAGCAAGTGGGACTGGATGTGGCATCAGTGCCACGGTCTGGGAACCATGGTGGGAGTGGATCAAGGGTTGGACTGGATGATCTCAGAGGTCCTTTTCAACCCGGCTGATTCTCTGATTCTGTGATTCCATGATTCTAAGTGTTCTCTCCAAAGGCTGTTCCAGACTGATGGAACCAGAGCCCAGGCTGCAAATGGGGACAGTTCAGTCAGCCCTGCTTGAGCCAGAGGGTTCCAGGTGTGCCTGGGAGAGGGCAGAGGTGGATCTGGCACGTGAGGGTTTTGCAGCAAGGCGGGATTGGCAACTTGTTGCTCAGGTCATCAGTCCAAACCAGTATGGAGACTCTGACCTCCCATGTGGGCCACTGACCCTCCTCTGGTGCTGGTGACAGCCGGGAGTCCCTGGCAGGACTGTTCTGCCCTGGAAACACAGAACAGTTCAGAGGTCGGGTGTGCAGCCCTCCCCACGGTCCCTGCAGCGTGTGGCCCAAAATCCACACCCAGGAGGTGTCCCCGGGCCAGGACTCCCTGTCCCACAGCTCCCTGCAGCCGCCCAGCTCCCAGGATGGCAGAGGCAGCGCTGTGACATCCCAGTGCCCGTGTTAAAGAGGGATCAGCGTTTCCCAGGGCTCAGCGCAGCCTCCCCAGCCCCGTGACACTGCCGGAGCTTCCCAAAGTGTCTGGCTCAGCACGGGCTGTGTCTCACACCTGGCAGCATCTGATCTGTGTGTGTAATGAGCTGCTGATCACTGGGCCAGATGGCAGGGTCAGGGCCGGGGCAGGACCCTGCTGGAGCCGCTCGTGTGAGCAGCACTTAATGCGATCACTTGACAGGGGCCAAGGAAATCTGCATCTGCTGGACTCGCTCCCTGCGGGCTGGGCTGTAAATAACTGAGCCTTTGGAGCACGGAACAGGCACATTCCTGCCTGTGGACAGGACACGTCTGCAGTGCCAGCCCCCAGCCAGGTGTTCCCCTCCCAGCCTGGAGCAGCTTTAGCTCCTCGAGCCGGGAGGTGAGTCCCACTGACAGAGCTCAGGGTGGCCGAGTCCTTCAGGGAGTCATTGGCTCCCCTGCCTGTGTCAGGGACATCAGCCCTGCCAGAGGAACTGTCTGGGGGCTCCAGTGCCAGCCTGGGCCTCCAGCTGTGTCTCTGGAAAGCACGTCCTGGGATGAGCTCACAGAGCTCACTGGGGTCCCACCTCAGGCTGTGAAGAAAATCCCCGAGCAATGAGAACCGCAGGGCCTGAGGGTCCATCTCCCTCTGGACACTGAGGGGATGCTTCTTGTTCAGGAGGACGTTTGTTCCTGACATTTCTGAGCAAGGTCCATGGTCTGGAGAACCCCAGAGCTCCTGCTGGGCCTCCTCCATCGTACCTGGGAGAGAGGAGAGGACATGAGCAGGGGCTGCTGCTGAGCCTCCCCGTGCTCTGGGAGGGCTCCTGGCTGGGGCCTTTTTGGCCAGCAAAGACAGACAGAGCCCCGCCAGCCTGAAGCCACCCTCTCCCTGAAGATCTCCTCTTGGGTTTCCTGCCTTTGCTGTTCTCCCCAACTCACAAAAAGCACCAGAGGTTCAATTTGTCACCTCGGACAAAGACTAATTTATCCTCTACCTCTGGACTGTGAGATGGGATCTCCACTCTTAGCAGTGTCAGGCTCAAATAATTCAGTTCTTAAATGATCTGACCCCTTCCTTACATATTTTGGTCCTTTAGAAATGAATCAGTGCCCCCCCAAATTGTTGTCACTGGCCAATTTAAATATGCTTTGAGAGCCTCAGCGTTACTTCTGTACGTGAAAAAGGAAACAGCCAAGATGCTGCTGCCAGTCATAAAGACAAAACATCCACAAAAGTAGATGTGGAGCTGCTTCATTCCCCATGAAACTCCATCCCCTGCCAGTGCCTGTCCCAAATCCAGCTTGTGGGGCTGCAGGATGGGCTCTGGCAGTCAGAGCCAAGGGGAAAGGAGGAACTCTGAGCCTCCTGCCACCTTTCCAATCTGCAGCACAACACCCTCATGCTGAGCTCGATCCCAATGCAGGGGAATCAGCTGGGATTCCT